AATTTACCATTTTTTTTTAAATTTAATGCCAAACATTATTATAAACAAGTGTGTAATATTGTTTTTTACGACAATTAGAGGAAATCTTAGGCACATTTAAAGAATGGTTGTCGTCATGTCGCGTCGTTTTCGACAGGGCTCCCCTACTACGTATACAACACATTTACAATACAGCGGGTGGTTGCATGGGAAATTCAATGACTAATTAATTCGGTAAGGCGAATTTCAATGGCGTTGAGGAAACAATACAATAAACAACAAACAATCAAACGACTCACGGCAATTATTACAATACAGAGTAAACTTTACTTTAAAGATCAAGTTACGGCACGAATTATCAAAGCTAGGAAAATGCATATATATGCACTGCGATTCAAATCACGTTGTAATAGAAATGAAAATATAATAGAAACTTCGTCAGTAGTAATGAACCAATAAACCGTATAAACTTATATTTTTTAGACAAGGACATTTTATTGACAATATATATTTGGAACAAGGGAAATATAAATAGACTAATTCCAATATAATAATAAATGAATATATGATCAAATTTAGTGCGCAAATAAGTTTACGACAATATATAATAATAGAAAAAACCTCAATGGCATTATAATGACAGTCAACATTCACATAGTTACCTTAACAAATATTGAACACAGAGCAGCTATTTCACGTCAGAACTTATTCCAAAACAACTGCACACTATGGTTAAAATAAACCATAACTTTCAAACAATACCAGGCAATAAACCGAAGTTATTTTAAACATTGTGAGAGGAAAGGGGTTCTAGAAAATAGTTGCCTCTCCAATAAATTATAATAATAAAGAATCTGCAGTGTTCTTAGTAATAGTAATACTACAGATATTGAAAAACATGTGATTAAGAAAGGAAAGATAAATATCAACGTAAACAAAGAGAGTTGAAAATCTTCTACTTGAAGAATCTTGCTGAACACACACACGTACAATATACAATGTTTCTGCAATTATACAGCGGCAAATGATTGGCAGTGCGAGTAGCCAATCAGCGACCATGTAGCAATTGATGATTCCTTGTCTTAAAAAGTCGTGGTGTTGCTGGCCATAATTCCCCACTGAAAACTTATAAGCAGCTTTTTCTGGCCATGGTGTGTTGATTTTTGATCGATTTTTATTTTTTAATGTCACAAATTTTTAATAATCACGAAAATACGACTTTTTAGATTAAAAGATAAGCGCATTGCTTAAGTCTCTGTTATGATAGCATTACATACAGGTACACTTATCTCCTTTTCTATTAATTCGGAATTAGAGATATATTAATATCCAAACAGGTGACTAATAAAACATGTGTTTCTTACGGTTTAATATGATAGTATGTGAGACTTCTGAAATGAATTATCTTATGATGAAACAATATCACAAAAATGGAATTGATTGAGCATTAATTCGCGAAAATCTCATAAGTTATCAACAGAATGAGCTGCCTATTTCCCTGTTAAGACACTTAACGTCGACAATGTATTGATCCGTATCTTAACAATTACTCGGAATGTAGTTCATATTTTCTTTATGCAGTATGATAATTTATAAGGGTTGTAAAAACAAAATTTGAACTAATCACTTCGAAAATGTGTCGATAAATTCAATAAACTCATAACATGAAATTTACCACGTATTTCAGATGTATTGAAAATTAATGAATCTAAGTCAAATCGGGCCTATACTTCGATATCTATATAATTTCGTGGATTAGCCTACGATATAATCCTCTCTATTATATTGCAGTGGATTATATATATTTTTCAGGTACATCGTAACACATGTATATAATATCATTACAAACTTGATTGTTACTTGAACGGTAGTGATATATAAAATAATGTCAATATCTGGAGAACTATCAAAGTTATACAAAATCACAACCTGCTTTAACAGTTCACAACAAATCCAAAATTAGGATTACTTCAAAGTTGAGTTTGTGCTGTTTTCTCGATTTTTAGCTGTTTTCATCATGATCGTCTCTTTGACCGGCGTTTCACAGCAGCTCGCGCAGAGCCCGGGCCCGTAGAAATACATGGTAGAGAGTGGTGCGCGTTTTAGCAACGTAGAACGTTCTGTGTCGTAGCTCCTCTAGTCCGTCACAAGCATGCACGTGTAAGACGGGCGTAAAACCCTGGTTTTTATGTTCCACTTGTTATGACTTAATCACACAATATTGGCAAACCCTAACCATTAAGTACTTACATACTGTGGAAAATAAAAACATTATGTTTTTTGGAAAAACCTAAAAATGAAATGTGGTAGCGTCTGCTTCAAACCAACTAGGAAGATTTTGTTTCCTCGCCGGTGAATATTTTTTTTTCCAATGGTAGTGAAAATTGTCATGTGCCGTAAATAAATAAACTAGATTATTTCAATACTTCATAGTACAAGTTTCAATTACAACTGGAGCAGCTCAGAAAACCAGAATTTGACCTGTGATATCGCACACAATGGTCTTCTTTTATGGGATGATGTAAGACCTATTAGATTAGAATATTTCTCATATGACATCATGCCGTTAGAAGCCCCCAGAGACAACAGACAAGTTGTGCGATGAATTTGTTTCATACATCATTATCATCTTGTGACGGTTTATGTTTGGTTGGGTAGTCGTTCGTCATCTGGAAAATAGTAATATCTCTCAAAAATCATAATTTCCATTGATAAACGACTACAGATCAAAATGCTATCGACGCTCTGAGCGGCCTTCGTGTCACCCATCTACGTCATAGAAAAAC